CGATTGATTATATCAAATGGGTTTTCATCGAACCGACCTTATCTATGTGCTTGAGTCTACTTTTTAACTAATGGGTGTATGGGCCGGTGTTAGACATTATGCGTGTTGTCTATTTCTTACTCTTCCATTCAGAGCGTTCAGTTGGTACGTATCGTTGTGAGTGTGTCGTACGTCTATTTTTTTAATAAGTTTACCTGTTACCTATAACGCGTAACTCATTTTCATCTTATGATATTGAAATTCAATTTCACTCACACAATTATTAGAAAGTTTATGAGCAATAATTTAATTTCCTAGAAGAGCGATTGATGGCGAGAATTCAACCAGATCAAAGAAACATCCATGATCTATGATGTATTTATGATTTTACAAGTTTAGACCATGTGAACTAGAGTAACTCTTCATAGCCCACAAATTAATGACACCCTACTAAATAAAGGGTTTTTCATCCTCTCATGTATGGGTAGTGGGTAAACGAATAACGGGAAATAAATAAAAAAGTTTGAATTTTATTTTAACATAAAAAATCTCAAATATTCTACCATCTTCTGTCTTGACACGACTTTAATGGTGTATGAACTCATTTTGATCTTTACCATGCAGTACATTTAACATATATATATTTTAAATCACATTGACATATATAAGTTCAGATCAGGAAATAAGTCATTTAAGTTTATATTAAATATAAAAACTAAAGACCAAAACAAAATTTAATAAAAACTTAGAGAGAACAAAAAAACATTTTAAGATTGAGATCCTTAAATAGATGAGTAAAAGATTCATTGGTGTGGTGAAGAAACTAGTGTGAGTAATTTTGATTTTTTAAAAAGTATTTCTAAATTATAGACAAACACGAAATCTTAATTAAATAAATAAATAAATTATCAAATCAAGAGCGCTGTTCAAATAGCCAAAAATTAGTACTCTGTAAAACTTTTGTGTAGTTTTTTAATTTTGTTCAACTTACACCAAAAAAAATCCAACAAAATCAAAAGCTGGTAAAGGAAGATTTTATATTACCTTTCAATTATTATCTATTTCGCATTTTAAAATTAAAAATCTGGAAAACCTTCTAACAAAAAAGTCCTTTTCTTTTGTAACATCACTATCATTATACCATATTACCAAAAATATTTGAACAACAAATTCTTTTTTTTAATGTTTTGTCCCTTTATTCTTCTAAAATATAAATACGATGTTATGGAAAGAGGTGAATTTTTTTTTTTATTACCGTTCTAAAAAATAAATTTAAACTATAAGTTTTCATGCATAGCAATTCTTTATGAGAAAGAAATAGATCATGCTTTTATATGAACCTCTATAATGCATAGTTCGATTGGTTTAGACATATATTTTCGTCCAAAAAATTAGAGGTTTAAATTTCTGTTGGAGAAATATGCATAGAAAACTTAAGAAAACATGAAATAAAATAATCCGAACCCAACGTAGCGTTGTTTCCTTAAGACAATTTCATTTCATCTACGGTGTTCAAGGTTTTATGAATAATTGTCTTCCAGGATAGGACGGATATACCAACCTGTGAATGCAGCACTCCATACACAGGACTCAACGAACTAAAAGTATTTAAGTACTCGTACAGAGGAGAAATGAGAGAATTTTGAGGGATAGTTTTCTGTGTTGCAAAACTGAGAAGAATCACGTATCTAAAGAGGTACTAGTTCATGAAAAGTTGTGATTCTTCAATTTTAACAAAAATAATTTTATTCAAAAAATTTCAACAATCCCCCACATGAATAAAATTTATTTTTAAAAACGTGTACGATTACTCATAAAGAATAACTACATCAAGATAAGTAGTCTAAGACTTTGAACTTTCCTTAGTAAAACTATGGAGTTTACATAGTCGATTAGTAGTTAAAAAACTTTTAACTGTCAATTTTTTAAGAGTAAATCAAGTCCATAATAATTACATAGATATTCTTCGAAATACTAATGGTTCTCATGTTTGTATTCATTTTGGCCCTGAATACCGCCTGGTTTCATGAGTATTTTTAGAGAATTAAGCCTTGAAAATTCTCATAGAAGCGACCCTTTCACACCTACATAGATGACTTTTTTAAAGATTATCGTAGCAATACCCCACCTTTATAAAAGAGCTAAAGAATCATTAAAAGCATATCATAACCTCATCCGTTTCTAGGTTAGCACTAATTTTTATAATAAGAACGGTTAGGAATTTATAATTCATTTTCTTAGTGCTCCTCTGAGTTGTATACATAAATTTGTTTCCCTTTTGAACCTAGATCTTGGGATCTCCAGTCAGCTAGGTTGGGTTACCATTATGTTAACTCTTATATTATAGGCTTCAAACCCATTTCTATTGAAGACAATTTCACTTGCTCTCTTGCCAAAGCTTTCGTAAGCGGATCTACAATGTTATCCTTTGATTTCACATAATCAATTGATATAATTCCATTATAGAGCAATTGTCTTATGGTATTATGTCGTCAATGTATATGTCGAGACTTACCATTATACATTAAGTTTTGCACTCTTCCAATAGCGGCTTGACTATCACAATGTATACATATTGGAGGTACAGGTTTCGTCCAATTAGGAATATCTTCCAAAAAGTTCCGTAACCATTCGGCTTCTTCCCCTGTTTTGTCCAAAGCTATGAATTCATATTCCATAGTTGACCTTGCTATACACGTTTACTTGGAAGATTTCTAGGATATAGCTCCACTTCCGAGTGTAAAGGTATATCCACTTATTGACTTTGAATTTTTCATACTAGTTATCCAACTTGCATTACTGTACCCTTCAAGTACAGTCGGATATCTAGTATAATGTAAACAGTAATTTGGAGTATATTTTAAATATCCCAAAACTCTTAAAAGAGATTTCCAATGATCTGAACTTGGATTATTTGTATATCGACTCAACATGCTTTCCGCATATGCTATATCTGGTCTTGTACAATTCATAACATACATTAAACTTCCTATTATACGAGAGTACTCCAATTGAGATATACTATCACTCGTATTTGAAGAACATTGATGGCTAGCATCCAAAGGTGTCTCTACAACTTTTATATCATATTTCTTGAATTTTTCAAGAATTTTTTCTATATAATGTGATTGAGAAAGTGCAATCCATCAGATGTTCTATGCATCTTGATTCCCAAGATAACATCTGCGATACCCATGTCTTTCATCTCTAACTTTCTAGTCAATATTTGTCTTGTAGCAAATATAATTTCTTTATTGCTACCAATTATTAACATATCATCAACATACAATTACGAACTCTGTTTGAGTTCCTTTAACATAGACACATTTGTCACATTCCTTGATTTTGAAGCCATTTGTTATCATAACATGGTCAAACTTTTCAGGCCATTCCTTGGGCACCTATTTCAAATCATAAAGAGATTTGACCAGTTTGCATACTTTCTTCTCTTGTCTAGGAACAACAAAACCATCTGGTTGTTCCATATATATTTCTTCCTCTAATTCACCATTTAAGAAAGTCGTTTTTACATCCATTTGATGTATTTCAAGGTTGTATAAAGCTGATAAGGCTATTAATATGCGAATAGAAGTAATTCTAGTGACGGGTGAATATGTATCAAAATAATCCAACCCTTCTTTTTTGTTTATAGTCTTTGGCTACAAGACGAGCTTTATACTTATCAATTGTTCCATCTGCTTTCATCTTCCTTTTAAAAATTCGTTTACAACCCAATGGTTTAGAACTAGGAGGAAGATCAACCAATTCCTATGTATGGTTTTGCATAATGGAATCAATTTCACTTTGTATAGCCTCTTTCCAATATGGTGCTTCTAGAGAAGAAATTGCTTCAACAAATGTTTGAGGTCCATTTTCCAACAAATATGTTAGAAAATCTGGCCCAAAAGTTTTTTCAACTCTTGTTATCTTACTACGTCTCGGCTGTTGAACCTTATCCAAAGTTTATCGATTAGACGATGATTCACGTGTCATTTTCCTTATATTCGACTCATTTTTCATATTATAAGGAAACACATTTTCAAAGAATGATGCACTCCTTGACTCAATAATTGTATTTGCATGTATGTCAACCCTCACAGGTTAGAATTAAAAAAAATGAAAGGTAAAATAATTTCAAAACATATACTAAACCAAATATTCTTATTTTAATTGTTATTTAGTTTACAATTAAAAAATATTTCATCATATTGTTTAGTTAGGGTTGATATAAGATATTGAGTGTAGAAGATAAGTCATAAAAATATGATTGGAATTATATACTTTTAAGTTAAATATAAATAAATTTGACACTAGATTTGGATCTCCAACTTTAAGAAAAGAGTAGATTATATTTATGTGGGCGAAAAATGAACTCTGATATCAATCTTTTAATACCTAAACTAACCATAATCATAGTAGTGTTCTAATACTCTAACTAAATTTATAATTATTTTTTAATAAGCACATTATTAATTTATTATAAGTTTGATCTCTAAACTTTATGGATTGAATCCATTAAGTCATGTTACTTAAAAAAAAAAATCTAACAAGTTTCAAAACCGTATATTGTATCTACTTGGTCTTTGTATAAAAAAAGAAAAAAATTCAGATATATCATTCCCTTTAATTTTGTATTCAATAGGTTATAATTAATAACGCCAAAGTTTAACATTTAACATGTGTCACCATGTTTATCATTTAAAGATTACACAACTAGTTGATACCAAGCTAATTCAATATTTGGTGCTAACATTGAAACTAATTTAGAAATAAAATAAAAGTTTATGAAATCATTAAAAATATTGAATTAAACTGAACATAGTTTAATTGATTAAGACACACATCTTTGACCAAAAGGTGGCGACCACCCCCAAATATTAAAAAAAAAAAGTGAATCTTATATGAAATGGGCCCAAAGCCCAAATAAAATTTTGGTATGGGCTGTAGGCCCAAATAGAGGTGTAGGCTTGATATTTGGGCCGTTTGGCAGAGTTAAAACCTTGTAAACCTCCGGGCTAGAGATGACCTGAATCGCTGGTTGATTCTCGACGATGGAGTCGCTTCACCACCGCCTTCATGCTTCTCCATTTCTTTCCTTCAGCCACCGCCTTCCGTCGTTCTCCAACCCCATTTCTTCCCTCTCCTTCCGTACTCCGCCGCCGTCTCCGCTACGTTCTCCCTCGTCTTTCAGGTCGTTGTCTGTTACAGCCTCATTCTCCCCGTCGACCTCCGACGCGTTTCACCAAACCCCTCGGAACGCTAAATCTTCAGTTTCCGAGACCTGGAATGCCGGTTTTCTGAGAACCGCTTGCATCTCCATTGCCGCTGCTGCATTCTTCTTCCTCCGGTTCGACCATCGGCACGCAGTTGCTGTCCCAGTGGCTCCGGAGACGACGGAGTCTACCGAGGAATCAATTGCATATGAAGAAAATGAGAGCGTTGTGGAAGAGCAACCCAAGGATGATTCCAATGATGTTGAAGCCCTTCGATCCCTCGTTGAGGCGAATGTGAAGTCCGGTAAACTCCCCGAAGCAGTTGATGCCCTAAATCGTCTGATCGAACTTGAGCCCAATGACCGTGAGTTGCCGGTGCTGAGAGCCAATTTACATAGCTGTATGGGGGAGCTTGAATTGGCGAAAAATGAATTCGAGGAGATTTTAGCGGAAGACCCATTGCGTGTTGAGGCCTACCATGGGCTTGCAATGGTGTCGGAGCAATTGAACGACAATTCATTGAAGGAAGTTTCCAAAAGAATCGAAGAGGCAATAGAGAAATGCAAGAAGCAGGACAGCAAGTCAGATATCAGGGATTTCAAGCTTTTGGTTGCGCAAATTAAGGTAATGGAGGGAAGTTATTATGATGCATTGAAAGCTTATCAAGAACTTGTGAGGGAGGAGCCGAGGGATTTTAGGCCATATCTGTGTCAGGGAATTATATATACTCTGCTACGGAAGAATGATGAGGCTGAGAAACAATTTGATAAATTTAGGAGACTTGTTCCAAAGAACCACCCTTACAAGGAGTACTTTGATCAAAACATGTTTGCAACAAAGGTTTTTTCTCAGAAATTAGAGGAGGGAGCTGGCTTGAAGAGCTGAGAAGAGTGCTTACCTGCTGCTTCTGTATGAGTTATCTTCTCACTCTTCTCTGCTGTTTTGAATAGATTCATTTTGTTAGTTATTAGTGGTTTGGCATTCACTAGGTTGGTGTTATATATCTAAATTTTGTCTGAATTTTTATTAATGATTGTCTGAATCTTTCAATTGAGTCTCATGTGGAGAATACTGATTATACTTATGTTCAGCATTCCTGAAAGTCTCAGAGAAACTGTGTTTCTTTCATTTCTTCATGCAAATATTCTTTCTCTAAACACACATCAAATAGAAACATGGTCATAGGTTTTCGATGGCTTCTCAAATTTTGATGGCTTCCGCCCCTGGGATAGCCCTTGGGATATTTGGGGGAGTTCTCCAAGGTCTTAGGGTTCAAGTTCAAACTTCGATGGAAAGTTTAATAAGTGAAAATATTTGAGGTCTCCTGGAGCTAGCATTGAGCCCGTGAAGTCTCTCCATAGAGTAGTGGGTGGTGACTGATGGCTGATATCACGAATATCATTCTTTTTTATGGCATCCTATCCCTAAAATTTGTAAACTTTCTGATACATAACCATGTCTTTTGTTTTAACCAACCATGAGTTGGTCTATTTGTTAGGTCAAAGAGAGCATGTTGTCAGTCTGAATGTCTCAAAGGTTCTGAATTCAAATCGATGGTGACATTCTCATTTACGATAATAAGTATCTAACGAGTTTTTATCCTAAGTATTGTAGGATCAAGCAGTTGTTGGTTATCCTGCCCAAAAATGCTCACTATATGGTATATGCATACAATAGAAAGTTTAGTGATCTTTGAAATTTGCAGTATTAGGTAGTTGTTTATGGGATTAATTGAGGTCTTTGAGTGTGCTTCTATAGATATGCGTATATATATATGATATCTACTTTATAATGGTGGGGAATTCTAAAAAATATGATCAAATACCTTGCTTCAAAGGATGGTGTGACCTCATATATGGAGGGAAATAAATCAGAGTTTTTGAGGGCATTGAAGTTTTGTTTTTTTTTTTTGTTTTTTAATTCTTTAAGACTTGAGGTGCAGCCTACTACTTCCTTGTAGTACTTAAAAAGTTATTTTGTAATTACGGTTTATACATGATTCTTCAAGATTGGAAAGCTCTGATTCATTAGTTCTTTTGTTGGGGGCTCATCCCCTGCACCTAGGGTGTTCTTTTGTTCTTCTGTTAATAAATATTTCATCTCTTGTGTGACCTACAAAGAGTTTAAACTGGCCCATGTTTTTTGTGCACGTCCATATTCCACCCAGTCCAAAATTATTATTAGGATGGAATAAAACCTGTTCCATGAGTACCATTTTGTTGATTAATGCTTTTCATGTATTTTTGTGTTTGAGATTGTTTCATATCAGGCCTGGCCCCTTGGAGAAATCTGTATTACTATGCATTATTTTTGGATTTTTATGTCTAACATTCAGATTCTCTCTTTAAGGTTCATGGTTCATAACCAAGTGGGATTGTCATAAATGACTGCTAAAAAGATTGAACTGAGGTAGAAGTTGAACAATGAATGAAGTCTAAGTGGTGATTACTCTATAAGCGTAGATGGAAGACTGGTTGGAGGTCTAATGATAGGAGCTTGGTTGATTAGGGAAGAGAGTAAAATGGGAAGAACAACATATCCAAGTGAATATTTGTTGTTAGGGAATTTTGATGCTTGGGAATTAAGGATGTTTAAGAATTTGGATGTATGAGAATAAAGTTCATAGCTATCGTAAATGATCTTGCTTAATCTTAATTTTCTTTGTTCAATGAAGAAGGTAAGATTAAGATATGTTAAGATAATATTTGTTGTTTCCCATCATATTTCTATTATAATTGAGGATTGATGGTTCATTCTTAGTTAGGGTAGGGAGGTAGGTTAGGTAAGTTTCCATGAAGAGAGAAGTCCATTTGATCCTCTAGATATGGATTTTAAATTTCTAGAAGCTTTTTAATTATATAATAATCTTTAGACCCTTGTAGGGATGTTATGGATTTTAATTCTAGAAGCTTATTTATTTATTTATTTTTATTTTTTAACAACGTATCAGGGTGGTGATTTGGACTCATGACCGTTTGGTCGGAGATAAGTGTCTTAATTAGTTGAGTTACATTCAGGTTCATCTTACAAACCTAACAATCCTCCCCTCGAACAAAGTATCATCGAGCCTCCCCTCAAATAGTCACTCATCCGTCTTACTTTTGGGCACAACGAGAGCTTGTTCTTATCCAATGCTTCTTGATAGAGCACACTAACGGATTATACCATGACTACATTTTTTAGACTCACCACTTCTTTGTTTGGCACTCGAGGATTTCAACGATATAGTTAAGTTTAGGTCATGACTCTGATATCACTCGTTAAGGACAATGGTACTCCAGGTATATCGAGTATATTTACAATGGTATGATATTATTCACTTCGAGACTAGAAGTTTTTTATTATATATAATATATAATAATCTTAAGACACGTATGGCTCTATATAATTTGAAAGCAAATCTTTCTAATAGAGTTAGGTTTAGTTTTGTTAAAAAAAAAATGGGGCAACGACCTTGCACGTGTAAACAGATGGACGGGCAAGGGGCGACAGGGTTCTAAAAAAGATTGGTGGAGAGACAACCTATTTAAAGTATAATATTTTTTAAAATAGAAAAATTATATTTAAAAAATTATATTTTTTTATAATATAGAAAAAAGTCCTAAAAAATAAGGAGTTTTTACTTATAATTTTGTAAGATAAAATAAAGATTAATTTATTCTTACATTCTTAGGCTCCGATGGAGAATGGTTTACTCACAACGATTTTCCATCACATCCAAGTTTATAAAGTAGATATTTTAAAACTATAAATTTATAAAAGGAATATTATAATTTATTTTATTCCATAGTCTTTTTTTAGTATCAGATTAGAAAAAAAATTATAATCTTAGATACGTGGGTTTATACAATTGTTAGTTGGTTGAGATTGATTTTCCTTTTTTTTTAATAAAAAAAAAGAAATAAAAATTGGAATGTACTAGATCATAAATTATATGATATGATGTGTCCATTTTGCCCTTAGACATTTCAATAGTTCTCTAAGTAATTTTTGGATTAGAAGATAAAGTTTCCTAATACAATAATAAAGGANTTTTGGATTTGCCACCATCCTATCTTTAATCATTTGATCAAAATTTCCATTATCTGTATGTGCTTGACCATCACAGTCAATGTACATTTTCAGTTCTTTTACTTCAACTATTATGTCAATTTCGTAACTACACAAAATTTTTTTTTATTATAGTTGTTATCCTTTAAAGAAAGCTTATTGTCGTCACTATTTTATTGAATTGCTAATATAAATTAGATGCAACAAATTATTTATAGATATGGTAGATGAGCTACATAATAATATAATATGATATTTTATTCTACGATGTGGAAGTTAGACAAATTATCCATAGATTTATATTTTAAGACATTATTTTGGTCGAAAGGCGAAAATAAAAAATATTATATGTTATTTTTCCTTAATAGTAGAATTTAGTATGTTGTTCCCCTTAACGATAGAAACATTTTGTAAGCTTTTAACAAAGGAAAAAAAATTCATAACAATGAAATTGAAATAAAGGTTAAAGAAAAACATCTTGTAAGAATTTAATCGTTTAGCCTAAAATAATTATAAATAATATTAGTAAATCTCCAAAACCATTTTTAAACCTTTAATTTAAAAAAAAAAAAGAAGTAAACTTGTAAATAGGTTGCTTGTAGGAAGAAACTTTGTTAATCAAGCGGGATGTTTTAATGTTGGATCTTACTAATATTTAATTAAATCTAAAAAAACATGATTTAACTTTTATACCATTACATAACTCAAATTTGAGCCATAAAGAATTTGAGAATGAAAAAAACCTTCTTAAATAGTCTTATATGTATTCTTATGGCATCAATTACGGAAGTAAACTGGAAAACTAGCTAAAATATACCTACATAATGTGTATTTTTAGAGTCACGTTACAAATAAAGAATACAACATTATAATGTGAGATGAGAAATTCGAATCTTTTAACGTTTGTCGTTGAATGTTTTGGTTGACAAAGAAAAGAAAGCTAAAACCATACTTTTGATAAAAAGACGATAATATTAGCCTACTTGAATTATGTTTCCGTCAACCAAAAATTGTGTTTTAATAGATGAATTAATTTGAATGTATAATTTAGACATTTATTGTACATTTGTTAAGTTTGAATTTTTCTCCACTTATTGAAAGGTGGTAATAATTGAAAGGTAATAATGATAGATGAGTCAACATATAGCTTTTACTGACTCTTTAATGGGTGGTGAGGTGAAGTTATGTTAGGTTTTTTTCTTTTTTTTTTTTTTACAGTAATAAAAATTTTTTTAGTACAATATGTGGGATGTCGGACTCACAACCTCATGATTGGAGGTATATGTCAATTACGGTTGAGCTAGACTCGCTTTAATTTTTGGACAACAATAACTTGTTTCATGCGGAAATGAAAATAAAAATAATTAAAAAAGAATCTTAATATTCTTTGTGATGGAGAGGTGGTTGCTAATTTCATGCCATTTTCATTCTTCCAAAGCAAGCAAACATTGGTATAAAAACTAGTGCCTCTCTCTCTCTCTCAAGTCTCAACATGTATATTTAATCATATCAAATTGACAATATTTTATTCTAACATTAATTAATTTTCCTATGGTTTTGGCCTAGATTTTGTTTTTTTCTTGTCTCTCGTCAAAATAATATATTTTTTCTTTAATTATACACATTTTTTAGGCTGTGCAATAGACGGGTAAGATTGTATATAGTATTGTAGTGGCGATGGAAGTTTAGTGACATTATATTGCTGATTATGATTTTCTAACAGTTTTGTAAAATTTTCTAAAGTTTTCATTCAAATTGACTTATATTATTGAAGATAACCCAAATTTGATTCTATAAAAAGTTGGAGTCTTATGTAGCAAAGAATATTTAGAAATTTTCATTGTCTATTAGATAAGTGATCATGACTCTCGTGTGGATTTGTAAAATCTATAAACTATATCATTCTGTTAAACATCATTATTTTACCTTCTAACAAAATTAAGAATATATAAAGTTTATTATCGAATCACAAGTTATAGAATGATATAATTTACCGATCTATTAACTGTTTAAGAGTTCACACGATGCTTAAAACRTAAGCATGATTCAAAAAAATAGACAGAATTGCAAGGGTTTCATTTGAAATAATCTCTTAAACAACCTAATTATGGATTTTGGTTGGATGAAATAAAAATGATGCCATTTTGGACTATCTAAATTTGACCTAAAAAACTTAGTTCTACATTGTTTAATTAGGCAAAGATCAACAATCTTGAATTTGACAAGATCCAATTCCCCTAATATCATAAGTTATTATATGCTTATAGCCATGATTAACCCAAAAAAAAAAAAAACAAGTGGGATTTAAACTAATTATTGTTGTTAGATATCTTTGCTTAATTTGCAAACATGAACCTACTCAATCAAGTGCTGCTCCAATTACAATTAGCCATAATTGATGGCTTTATCCTTCAATGGAGGATGTGAATTCTCTCTCTCTTCCATTTTGATTTTTCTTTTATTTTTCTCACAATTTCTCAGGTAAATATAAAACTATTATTAGTATAAATTTATCTAAGATATTTTTTAGTACAATAAACTGATTTCAAAAAATATTATTAGTATTTGAGCTACGTTGAGTTTCAAAAACTTACCTAAGATTTGAATAGGTAAAAAAAAATAATACATTTTAAAATATAAAAATAATAATTTTTTCCCTCAACAAAAGTTAAAATAATAAATATTTAAATATTACTTTCCTATCTCTATTTTTCACTTTGATTCATTTTGGTTTCTATGTTTTTAAAATGTTCATTTTGGTTCCCGTACTTTTAAGTGACCATTTTGTTTCCTTCATTTTCATTTTTATCTCATGTATTCCAATCACAATTTTTAAACATGACGGTTCACTCACAAAATTTCTTCAAATATATTCATAAAATTGTATTAAATAGTTTCAATGGTTTACAAAATTTATGTTAAACATTTTCAAATAGAGATCAAAATGGTTATTTTGAAAACGTACAAAGATGAAAACGGACGTTTTGAAAGTATAGAGACTAAAGTGAATAAAAATTGAAAATATAGGAATGATCAAAACAGACATTTTAAAAGTATATTGACGAAACTTAATCAAAGTTGAAAGTTAATAAACTAGTATTTAAATAAAAGAATAAAAATAAAAATGAGTGAAGCTAAGAGACAAAATAAGAACATGGCTATCCTTAAGATGAGCCCTCCCTCCCCAAGTAGCAAAATGCATCCAAATTCAAATACTTCATTGTCCTCTTCCACTCCAATTTTTAATATAAGATTCTATTACTATTTAAATGCAAAAGTCCAAACAAGCCCTCCAATACAAACAATAATACACACACCATTTTTTTGTCTAGCTAGGTTGATCACATAGTCCAAGAAAGAAGACCTAAAATATATATATATATATATATATATACACATTTCGTAGAGATCAAAATAATAAAGTCTTATCCATTTAAGATTCAAACCCTCTATTTATATTGGATTAATAAAAAAAAAACTCAACAGTAATTGACATACATCTCCAGTTAAAATATTGTGAGTGCATCTACGTAATCTACTAAAAAAGAATTAATAAAAGAATAAATAAAAATATAAAATTATTTAAGTGGAAGTTTGAGCTTCAAATTATCCACCTCCATATTTATTGTATTTGAAAAAATAAGATAAATAAGAAATTAAATAAATGAAAGTTAGAAATTTAAATAAATTATAAAAAAATCGCTTGTAATTTGTAAAGTTTTTGACACGTGGAATATACGATGTACGAGTTGCCCGCGAAGATGGGTGACCTGGTTGGTATATGGGTCCTTTTGAAAGTTCAAAATATAAATTCCGCCTCCTCTTTCTCTCTCCTCACGCGGCCTGTTTCTCTCTCTACTACTCACACCATTTTCACCGCTCCCACTCCTTCGGCAGTTGCAACGGATCCGTATTCAATGCCCCCGCCCTTCTCTCTCTCTCTCTGAGCCAAAAACCAAAAAGATTCTCTCTCATCTCTCTGCACCATCTTCATCTTGTTCTGATATTTTACTTTTTTATTATATTCCAGTTACTCAGTGAAAGCTACAAAAATTTGAATCTAGGGGCTACTTAGCTTCTTGTCCGTGATTTTCTGCTCTTTTCGCCGTTTTCTCCGCCGGATGCTTTCTTTTTCCCTGCATTTTCCATCTCCAGCTTCACTCTGCTGTTCCTGAGCAGCCATGGAGAAGATTCGCCACAAGAGGTACAAGATCGCCAGTATTGTTGATCGGAGCTCCGGTGAAAGGTTTTCTCCGGTTAAGCGAGCTATACGATCAGGTCAGTTTCTTTTCTTTTCTTTTAGCTTCTGGATTTGTGCTGCTTCCTGTTTGGCTGCTCGACAAACTTTGGGAAATAGGAGAGAAGAATTTGCGTGTTTCTGTTTTCTTTTTTTTTGGAATACTTTACGTGGTCAATGAGGGCTAGAAATTTATCTTTACTTTGTTAGCGGTACTGTGTTCTGTTTACCTGCTAAGTGGTGAGTATCCTTCTGTTTGGTTGCCAAGAAAGAGAGCAGAAATGAACAAATTAGATTCAAACTTGATGGTACAAATGAGCTTTAGTTGTTAAATTTGGCTCGGTTTGTTTTTCTTCTTTAGTCTTCAAGATTTATAGTTGTGAACTAAGTGAAGTATGATATCATCAAATCGTTCCATGAATGAAGAACCGGAATATGACGGAAACTCACTTTTTCGTTGTTGTGGAGTAAATATGATGCAATTTCTTGGTCCTGATCTAGGTTACCGCCGTAGTTCCGTTAAAGAAAAATTTGCAGTTGCTTTATGGCTTTCAATAATGGTATGTGTATGATCTGTGCTCTTCATAATGATTTCAGTTTCTTTCGGTTTGGCGTTTTCCAATTATGTCTTGTATCTTTCAAGAACGCGAGTCCTCTTTTTCTTTTTCTTTCTTTCTTCTGTTGGCTAGTTCGACACGCCTGTATGTTTTTGTTATATAAATACAATTTTTCCAAATAAAATTTAATTTCTACTCTTAACTTCCGCTTAAATCACAATAGTTGTTTTTAACAGCCAACTGGGCAGTAGGTCCTGGTTGTTTCTGTTATTGAAAATTTTTGTTCAAGTTTGAACTTCGCAACGTCTGCTACAGAATTCGTACCCTAAAGTTTTAGGATTAACTTTCAGGAAATAGAAAGAATGAGAAACAGAGAAATTTACCAACGCTGGCCTCTGATTCAAGCTCGTGCAGCAGTGGTGCTACAGAAGAAGACTCGGTATGCAAGTTCTATTCATGTCATTGAGCGTATATTTATTTCATATAAGTTATGTTCATCTATGATTTACCTCTCTTTTCTAGCTCATTATGATTTTTTTTCCATTTTTGAAAATATCAAGGAGATGTAAATAATTATGGTGCTAAAATGAAATTGTCATTGCAGTTCACTCTCGAGCTGGGGTGGAGGTCTTCTAAAGACTCTTTTGGAGCTCCAGTGAAGAAACTATTAGCAGATGAAATGTCCAAAGAGACTGAAATAAAAAAGAGGTCGCCTAACGTAATCGCCAAATTGATGGGTCTTGATGGCATGCCACCTCCAAGGACTGCTTATAATCAACAGAAATGTCCATCAGAGGACCATTCACAGAGGTATATATCAAAGGAGAAGGTGGAAAGGAAGGGCTCATATTGTGATGTTCAGATGACTAGGAGAAGCTCAAAGGAGCAACAAGAATTTAAGGACGTCTTTGAGGTCTTGGAAACGTCAAAAACACAGCAAAGTAGAAACTCAGATCAAGGAACTCCAAAATTTGAGGTGACTGGATCAGAAATGGCATTCATTCGGCAGAAGTTCATGGATGCTAAGCGCTTATCATCTGATGAGAAGTTACATGATTCAAGGGAATTTCATGATGCACTTAATGCGTTAGAGTCAAACCGAGATCTTCTCCTGAAATTTCTACATCAACCAGGTTCATTGTTTGCTAGGCATCTGAATGATTTGCAAGATGATGGCTCCTATTCCGGTCGAGATTGCTTAACTTCTCTGGAGTCATTGGACAATAGGAAGTGTGATTACCCTGTGTTTCGGGGCAATTCAGAAAGGGGAACTCCTAAAAAGAATAGTAGTAAATCGAATTACAACCGCCGGGGTGGTCCTTCCAGCCACTCTGACAGTTCTTTTTCCGGTCATTCTTCAAAGTCTTCACCAATTTTAGAAAGAAAAAACGAACTAGAACATCTCCCCACGAGAATTGTTGTTCTCAAACCAAATATTGGGAAAGTGCAAAATGCTAGAAATATTATCTACCCATCGCATTCTTTTCCAGAATGTTCAGATACTGGAGAATTCAGAACTGTTGAAAGGAGAGCCAAAAAGGAATTGAGGGGAAAGAAAGAATCTCTAGATAAAGTACTGTTTTCAAGGCAGATTTACAAAGAATCCACTGATGAACAAACCAGGCAGATTAGACATGGATTTAGTACGCCTCCCATGAATTTAACATGCTCTGGTTTTCAAGGATATGCAGGGGATGAGAGTTCTTGCAGCTTGTCCGGAAATGAATCTGCAGAAGAACCAATGGTGAGGACTGTTGATTTAAAAGGTTCCTCCAGCTTGAATGTGGGATATCCGCGATCATCTTCTCGTCATAAAGAGTCATCTATCAGTAGGGAGGCAAAGAAGAGGCTTACTGCTAGGTGGAGATCCTCTCGAAACTCCGAGGATAAGGGAGTTGTTAGTAGAGGCAGCAGTCTGGCTGACATGCTTGCTGCACATTTGGATGCACGAGTTACAGAGGAAGGATTCACAGATAAATTCTCTAATGATGAACAACCTGGTAGGGAAGTTGAACCTTTAGGTATAAGCAGCAATGATGGCTGGAAGGATGACTGTAGCCACTTAACCAGGCCAAGATCTCTTCCTTCTTCATCAAATGGCTTTGGAAGTTCTAAAACTGTGCATCTATCTAAGGGTACCAACAAGCATCTAATCTCCAAAGAGAGTAAACGGGAAAATAATAAGGCTGTAAAAAATAATTTTGATCAGAGGGAATGTCTACCATGCCAGAAATCAAAATCCAGTAAGATAGCACAAGAGTGTTCGCTGCCTTCATCCAGGCAAAGTAATGACATGTTACTACAAATCCAAGTAAACCCGGATAGCTTGAACACGCACTCCCTTGACGATCGCTCATCTAAAATGACTTCTACGGAGTTTGAGGCATCATGTTCTAATGTCGATGACAGAAGTCGAATTTCTCGAAGTGTTGAGGATGTTAGACATGCCTCCTACACAATAACATTTCCTGAAACACCTGATGAGTTGCAGTTGGAGTCAGCAGATTGCATGTCAGCAATTGGAAATTCCTGTATTGATGACCGAGACAATACAGTACACGAGGTTCGTCTTTATTTCTGCAGCTGATCTTTGATGCTTTATTTCTCTAGTCTCTTTTTTCATTTGATAAAACGTTAAATTCTAAGTAAATGGCGATTTTTCAGGAAGGACCATCTGTAGAAAGTCCAGCGCCGTCGCACAAATCTGTGGCTGCGCTTGAATCTCCAGCTAGCTCGAAGGAGGCTGATCAGCCAAGCCCAGTTTCAGTTCTGGAACCTGCTTTTGGAGATGATATTTCATCATGTTCTGAATGTTTTGAGAGCGTCAGCGCTGACCTCCAAGGTAGTTGCTAGCTATGTACATTGTAATAATTGGTCCATTTTACAAATATATTATTGCATTAAAATTTGATCCAGTTGGGTAAGCGAGTTAAATCATTCATCTTGAATTTTACAATATGATGATATTCTGGGGATTTTCGTTGCTGGTTATCATCACCCAGAACCGCAAATATCCTGATCCTGAGAAATTTGATTTCACCAATAATCTTCATTTCTCTGCAACAATTCCTTTGAATCCTTTCTTCTAACATAATTTTTCCCTCGGTCTTGGTTGCAGGCCTTCGAATGCAGCTTCACCGACTCAAGTTCGAATCCGAAGCATTCACCGACGGACCCATGCTCATATCCAGCGACGAAGACGCAGCAGAAGCATCTGCTGGGCTCTGCGATGAGAAAAAGAATGGTCTTTGCAGAGCAATAGATAGCTGGGAATTCTCTTATTTACTCGACATCTTGACCAATTCGGGCCTTAATGATGCCAATCCAGGGACGCTAATAGCAACACTGTTCTCATCCGACTGCCCTATCAATCCAAAGATTTTCGAGCAGCTTGAAAAAAACCAGAGCTGGCGCTGCCCTTCCTCCACAACACGGTCCGACCGGAGGCTGCTGTTTGACCGCATAAACTCGGGACTCCTGGCGATGAGCCGGCAGTTGAGCGACCCGCACCCGTGGGTGAGGCCTGTAAAAACACAGATTGCTGCGACCAAGTGGATGAAGAAAAATGAGCTACAAAACAGACTCTGTAAGTTTCTCGACACCCAATTAGTTAGATATGATGTAGTAGAGGAGTCAGAGTGGCAGGATTTAGGGGATGAAATTGATGTGATAGGTAACGAAATTGAAAGGTTGATGATAGATGAGCTTTTAGCTGAAGTAGTCACCATGTGATATAGAGGAGTTGTGTTTTTTTTCTTAGGTCATGAAAATGTGTAAATGAAATGTTGAGTTAACCACTCATTTCGTAAGAAGATTCAAATAAATGAATCAGTGACCTTGCCTCTCTCTCTCTCAGGGTTTTAGCAAGAAAAGATGGTCATGAAATCATACAAACAGTCTCTAGAAGCTTTTTTTTTTTTTAAACAATATATTAAACCAAAAGGGCAAAACACCCTACGGGCAAGGACCGAGGAGGCCCCCTCCTAGAAAGTTACTGTATTACAGCTTGCCAATCATGAAAAAGTAAAGCTAAATCTCCGATGAGTAAGGCACCCTGAGGAGGCCGTGGTAATTTGTACATTTTCCTAAAAAGTTATAAAAGGGGATAAAAATATCTAGCTCCAAAGGACCTTGACTTTTCTTTTTAGAGTACTGCCCCGGACAATTTCAAGAAGCCAATCATTCACCAAACAGGAAAGAGAGCAAATGAGTGTTGAGGTGAAAGTAAACGGAAGGCACAAATGATCAATTTTCTCCTCGTTCCTAAGATAGAGAGAACAGACCGGGGAGAGAGCATCCAATTTTAAAGTTTTTTTCTACCACCGTTCATGAGTGCTGAGGCTTCTATACGTCAGACTCATAAATTTTTTTTACCTTATTTTAAGAAAATATCAAAACAAAAATTATTTATCTCCTTCAGACTTTCTACCTATTCTTTCAATTAACCAATAATTACTTTCATCAAATGCCTAATTTTGAAGGGAAGGAGGAGAATGCCTCAACTCCAAGATAAGTGTTGAAGAGAACTGGGGGTCATTTTCTTGTTTTAATAAGAATGTGAGGTGTGCATTTTATTCTTAAATAATTTGTATGTTTCATTTTTTAGAACAAATTAAATAATTGTTGGAAAAACTAATTAAATAAACTGCCCTGATTTTATATATTTACAGTGGTTCAAAGATTTGAACTGAAATGTAAACTTTAAATCAATATTTCCCTGTGGTCCCAAAACTTTTTAATTCCATAATTCAAACATTACAATTTTTGTCACCTATAAATAAGTTATTAATGATTTGATTGAGTTTTATTATTATTTTTTAGTTTAATATAAAAATGAGGATACATGTTTTAATAAGTTGAACTATGCTTAGATTGATTATATTCGAATTAGCTTGCTTAATTATGAATCGACAATAAAATATTTAAAATCAGCAAACACCCTCGTATCACATACATTTTTTAAATATCTAAATAAATTAAATGAAGTTTCACTTTAGAATAAATAACTAAAATGAGTACACGAGACAAACAAAAATCTAGGTTAAATAAAATATTTGATCCCTGTACAAAGTAACAATTTAGTTACTGAACCTCAGTTTGTAACGATTTAGTCCATGTACTTTTCCTAAAGTAACAATTTAGTCCCTAGACTTTAACTTGTAAAGATTTAGTCCATATAGTTTAAAATTTGCAACAATTTTAAGTGTCAAATTTTATCATGTAACAATTTAATCTTTTTAATTCATAAGCATATTTGGTTCTTCTTTAGTTTATCAATCTATACATATAAGAAAATTAACAAAAAAAAAATTTAACGATAAAGACTAAATCGTTACCAACTTTAAGTTACAAGGACTAAATTGTTACATATTAAAGTTCAATGATTAAATTGTTACAAATTTGAAACTACAGAGATTAAATTATTACAAACTAAAATTTAGAGACTAAATTATTAGCTTAGTAAAAGTACAGGGACTAAAAGTGTTTTTTAATAAAAAAAATTAATAGGATTCCTTCTCCCACATGTTATTTTTATTAAAAGTGTAATGAATTTTGGGTCGGATTGATTTTTGGTCAAAACATAGATATAGGTTAAAAAAAAAAAGAATAGTAAAAATTCTTTGTTTCAAGGTTGATGGCTTTTTGAGAGCAAGCAAGGCATGATAACGAAGGTGGGCCCCAAATTCCTTTTTTGTTTCCCAAGCTTCCATATTTGGACGGCTTATGTCACTCCACGTGGACTCCCGATTACGTCGCCATCAATTCCAACGGTGCTTTTGTCGTCATTTAATTCATTATAAACCTATCAAGTATATAGCCATCCAATATGGGCTTCTTTTCGACTCCTAAGTCATAATTAAATATCAATTTTTTATTTCATGAACGTTTGAGTTGGTTAAACTTTGACTTCATATTAATATTCACAAAACTAATTAATAACGTGAGGAATAACCTATATGTCTTATAAATTTTGTTATGTTTCTTAATTTTTTCGACGTGCAATCTTTAATATAATATAATTTTTCTAAATAAATTTTCTTAGGATATTACCTGACAAATTCATAGGTAGATATTTGAATTTATATCTCAAAAGAAAGAGTAGATATGTCTTAGCCACAAAGTTCATTGGATAGGTTAAATAATAAATATAGTCATTAATTTTAGTAGTTATTTATTTAATCATCAACTTTGAATCGTTATTTAATGTAATTTCTATTGTCAACTAATTAATGATATAATATGTAGGTTGAATTAACATTGACTTATTTAGTATGACGTAGGAGACAAATAGTCAAAAAAAAAATAGTTGAACAAAATAGTGTGTGATTATACGATATATTTTCTTTTCAAGACAGCTTATGATTTTTTTCTTTCAAACTTTGAGAAACATAAATAAACATATATATTTTATATAATTATTGAATTGATATCTCCATCCTATAAAGGGTGAGACAAACACCCTAGAAAAAAAAAAAAGGGAAAAATTACTAAAGTTGAGAAGGCAAAGAGAAAATTTTTATTCCATAGAATTGCAACAAAACAAGGAAAGCAAATCCCAATGAAAGGGCTACCCATGTCTTCCTATTAAACAATAAGGAAATAGTTTTTTTTTTCTTTTATTTTTTCCCCCATAATTCAGCAATTTCCAAACAAAGCTTTAGAACACAACAAAATTACCAAATCTTGGCTGACCCAACAACTCTCTTAAAATGATCCCTATACCCAATTTGCCCTTAATAAATCCCCAACACTTCAATCCAAATTTACAATATTAGCCTCCTTTTTATAAGGATTTTACTTTTAATTTTCTATTTTAAAAACGTAAGCTTGTTTATCAATACTTTTATTTTTATAATTTTTTTGTTTTCATCTAAAATATTTTAAAGCATAGATTTCAAAACGAAGAAAATATTAATAAACAAACTCAATTTAAAAAATAGAAAAACTAAAAATAAAATGGTTATCAGAAGTTTTTCAACATATTTTTTTGGTGTGGATTAAGATTGAGATTTTGAAGGGGATCTGAAGTTGGCCAAAATTGGGCATTTTTCACCTTTGAAACACTTTCCAACACACCTTGTGGTGTAATATTTCCCATTATTGTCACCATTTTTGCTGCAAAGTCTATGTTGAATGAGTTTACCCCTGCATTTTCAAACCAACACTATATTAAATTAAATTTTATGAGATAAGAATTTCATCAAAATTTGACTCATAGTCCTTTTTTTTTTTTTTTAATTTGATTGTGTTAACTTTTTTGAAGATGTGACTTTATTTTCTTAGTCGAAATATTTGGGTAACATACATTATTTTAACTACCTAATTCAAATAACAATAATAATAATAATAATGAAGTCAAGAATAAATATACCAAAAAGAAAAAATTAGGCTTTTATATTTTTCTAAACTCTTTTTCCAACTTACCTTCCATTTTAGAAAGATGTTTCCTCAGTTTTCCTTCACAGCCTCTGCAATGTAATGATACCCTCAAAACCACAACCTGAGATCATAATCAAACATACAATAAAATAAAAGTAAATAATAAAAATAATAAATATTTCAATTTATTTTCTTTTTTTCCCATTTGTTTTTTTTAGAGTCTGAATCTACCAGAAAATTTCTACGAGAGTACCATACTCTCTTCTAAAAAGTATTAAAAATGATGTGAAATCTATTTCTTCTATTTAGTGTGATTTTTTTAAAATTTGTTAACCTGGTTGGATGGTGAAGGTGTTTTGGCCTCTGAAATCTCTATCGTCGACTTGGATTCGTCTCGGTTGTTTTCTATACTTGAAGTAACCTTTAGGTGACTCTCACTTTGAAGAATTGATTTGGAAAGCCGATCCATCGAACCATCACGAAACGACTTATCGTTCAGTAGGTACCGCATCGAGCCAGGAGGTGTTGCCAAATCACTGGGCTTGGCACAACTCCACCTAAATGGTAAAAACAAAATATAAATTTCAAAAAAAATATATACTTTCAATTTCAATTTACAAGCCAATAATTAAATTTCCTACCAAACTCTCAAATTTAATCGTAATTTACTCCCTTTTAATATTTAATGTTAGGGTTTTTTTTTATTTAATCTCTCTATTATATCAAATTTAATTTCTTGCCTTTTAATATTTTTCAAAAGTTTCTAATTTCTTCTCTAAATTTACTGTCTTATTCTACAATACTTTTTTTTTATTCGCAATTTCTTGGTTTGAGATATATGACAATCTTCATTGAACTATGCTTGTTTTTTTACGACTCTACGACATTTGATATCAATAAACACATAAAAATTAATTCGTAGGTGATAATCACCATTAACTTTTTATGTTTTAGGTGGCTTGATCCAATTTTTTTCCTAAATTTTATCAGATATTTTAAAGATTTACAAAATGTTAAAATGTGAGTGACAAAACCAAATGAGTAGAAAAAAAAACAGTAACATTTACAGTCAATTAGTAAATTCTAAACCCCAATAATAAATAAATAACACATTCATCTATCTCCAATCAAAGGCGGGTCCATGTGTTCCAATTTTTCATCCTACATATCGCATTAAAAAAATAACAATAAATGAAAGTGAAAATGAAAGAGAAAGAGAATTAACCTTACTAAATCAGTGGTAATAATGGAGGTCTTCTTCTTCTTCTTGATCTTGTTGAGAGGGTCTTGAGTTGCGGCGGCGGCGGCGGCGGGGGAGGCGTGGAGGTGGTGGTAGGGGAGGGGGTTGATGGGGGAGTACTGGGAAGAGCACGGAGGATTGGGGAAAGTAGTAGCTATTCTGGAAGTGATTCTTCTTCCGCCGGAGATGATGGGGTTGTGGCGGTCGATGGCGGCGCCGGCGCCGGGTTGGAGAGGGGAGGAGGAAGGTTGATCCGCCGCCGCCGCCGTGGTGGGGAGTGGAAGGCAGACGGCGGTGGAGGCTTGGGAGGCGCACAACATATCTACGCCTTTCATTTTTGTGTTTTTGGATAATGATAATTCTGCTCTCTCTCTCTCTCTCTCTCTCTAACTTCAAAGCTCTGAAGCTTTTTTTGAGTGTGTGTGGTTCACAGTTTTTTGCTTTTGTGGGGGAAGAGAGAGAGAGAGATTTTGATGAATGTTGTTTTTCTTGCCTTGCTTTATAGAGAGAGGAAGAGAGATTTTAAGGTTGAGGTAAAAATTGAAGGCGAAAATTACGAGCTATTATGGGTGAAATGAAGTTCCAATTTATTAATTATGAACTAATTAGATATGCTAAGCCAGCCTAGCTGGATCAAAGCAAACTATTTGAAATTAAAATTTATACAAAAGGCCAAGTTGTAGGACGTAAACATAGTGGTACGGCTCTGGGATGGACTTAACCAGAGTTTATAATATAAATGAGCTACTATTTTATTTTAATTGGTTTTGAAATAGAACTCCATGAATATTGACATCATATCTGAGTAAGATAAATAAATAACTCAAACGAGCATGGATGAGATTTGGCCAAGATCAGTGAACCCAAAAAAGACACTATCTTAAAAAGGTATGTTGAGGATTGCAAATTGAAAAAGATACGAGACTTAATAATGGTTTATAATATAAGTGAGTAATAAAGATTTATAATGTTATTGGGTCACAAGGGTTTTATAATATTAGTAAGCTATCCCTCTCAATGCTAATTGGTTTTAAGGTTAAACCCCATCAATAGTGATAGAATGTCATGAATCAAGTTCGTGGATGCATACCTAATCTCTTGGGCCGAGCCCTAAGGGTTGGACCCAATAGGCCGATCAACCTTCTAAAAGTCGAGGCATGTCTATGAGACAAATCCTTAGACTGGCCTATTCTCTCAATTCTGAACCATCAAACTCAAATCTCTCAAATTTTGAAAATTCAAAAGAAGATAAATCCAAAAGAGCTAAGATTTTCCCTCTATAAAAAAGAGGAAAGTCTCATAATCGAGGTGAGATTAAAAAAAAAAAAACTCTAATTCTCGCTACATTTAACACAACCTAGTTATGACTTAAGCATTAGAGTTTGTGCGTGGCTAATCCCACATTGGTATACGTTCTGATATTTGTTTTGTAGGTTCAATCGATTCTGGTTAATCAAGTCATTCTACTGACTAAATTTATAAATCTATTAACTGATAAAGCGTTAGGCTAGTAGCATTACAAAATTATATATTAAAGTTTTTTTTTTATAATAGGTTAATGAAAGGAGTAAATATAAGTTTAATCCATCTTTTAATCTATCTTTGAATTTTAGAAAGTATTTAATAAGTTCATAAATTTCAATATTATATCTAATAAATTTTAAAATTAAAAAAGGTTAACGTTGAAAATTTAAAAGTCCACCGGACATTTCTTTTAAGTTCGGAAGTATATATTAAAACAAAAATGAAAGTTTAGGTTCAACTTGTAGTCTAACTTAAATTATTTTATACCAAATCTAAAAGTAATATATATATAGACACAAATTAATTAATAATTAATTAAATTACCAAGTGGATTCTTATGTTAGTTATTTTAGTTTATTTATTTATTTTTCTTTTGTAAATTTAGGATGGAAATGTCTAATATTAACATGTATTTTTGGAGTCCATTATTCCCTTTCTTTACCAACACCAAACTCCCTCACACAGATTATGAAATTTTAAGAATTACGATTGTCCCAAAATATGCTTGAGAAAATATTTTTTAAAAAACCTTATGATTGATAAATAGGCAAATTGAAAAGCTTTTATAAATTTATTTAAAATAATAAGGGAGGGAAAGTAAAAAAAAATAGAAACCGATTTCTTGAAATTACAAAAATGGCATCTTTTCATTTCCCAAATATTTCTGAAGGCAAGTTAGTATCACGAGTCTGGTCTGCACGACAGTACAGTATCGAGTGCAGCCTAATAAATAAAATTCAGAACCCCCAAATTTATAATTAATATACAATTAATCTTATTTATTTATTTTAAAATAATAATTATTTTAAAATCAATTCCTACGTGTCCACTTTCCCAAACACCCCTCTGTCCACCTCGGTTTTTTGGTCTTTGACTTGGATTTTCGTGCCTCCTTTGCCATTACCAATATATATTTTAAATTTCTACAAAATAAAATCACAGCACTAAAATAATATTATTATATGTAAAGATTCTTCCAAAAAAAAAAAAAATTTTGACCTCAATAGAAAATTCTTTTGATACTTTGCAAGTTACAATTAAATTTGTGTATTGGTTTTTTTAGAGTATCACAATTCAAGTTTTTCTTTTTCTCTCTCTTTTTTAAGAGGGTGAGGCAGACCTCTGATCTTAAAAATAGAAAAATATATATTTTAAGTCATTAGATCGTAGCTTGATCAATTGAGTTACACTTACATAATTACATTTTTGTTAAGAAAGTTCATTCGATGATTGAATATACTTTAACTTATAAATTCAAAAAAAATAATTTAGCAGTGATTTATGTGGTATATGTGGTATATGTTGATGCATAAATTTTCTCTTAGGATTTCGCCAAATTCATACAGATCTTCTAGAATAAAAGGGATCAATAAGACCTGCAAAACAAAATAGCACTAAAGACCGGTGTGGCTCTTGCTATACACGCTCTAATGCTTAAGTCAGAATCGGAGTAGTTGAGTATAAAGTGAATGGTGTTATGAACATACATTTAGGGTTTAGCTTACTCTCGTAGGTCGAATCCTAATCCTTCAGGATTTACATCCGTTGAGGAATTTACATAAGTTGAATCCTAATGCACGAGATCTAGACGGAGTGGGCCTCATGATGCATTCAGGACTTAGACCAAGTCCACTCGGATCGGGCTGCGTGGGGTCGGGACAAATCAGTGAAGTTCTCGGCCTCCTTGGAGACCTAGGTTTGGTCGGCTATGGCCGGTGCGGGTTGCTGGGCTTCGATCCACTTACCCCTCTTCGGGTCTACTTCTTCTTCGGCTCCATTTCCTCTTTTTCGGTTGTTTAGTTCGATCTTTATTTTCTTCCTATAACAATATCGAAACAAAACGCACTGTTTCAAATTATTTTATGTTTTATATCTTAATCTTTTGAATTTAATAAATATGAGATGAAAATTTAAATCTTCGTTATTGTGAAAAGATAATTAATATTTTATCTCTATCCAATATAATTTTATATAGAGAATGATAAAAAGGGCAGGTGAGGAGTGGGGTTAGTGAATTTATGAAAATAAAATGTGAACATTAAAAGGCAGTGGGGCCAACCTGCGTCAGAAATTCAATTTGGGAGTCGGTCAGTCCCACCAACGGTTGTGAATTAAAATACAAATAGTCAGCACATAGCACCATTCTTTTTCTTTCTTTTATTATTTACTATCTTTCCAAAATTTACACCCAACCATCAAATTTCAATAAAAGAATCTCTCAAGGGAAATGATGATTTCTTTGATGAGATGTGTCAAAATTACTATGAATTCACTTCTAGAGGAGTGAAATTTATAGGACTGTGTTGATGATTATTAGGATGTGAAAATTCTCAAAACTTGGATTAGGTTGGTTGATTGAAGATGATTTTCTTGATTGTTGTGATTAAGAATATCACGTATATTATGGGAAGATAAAAAGAGAAGAGACCAAGCGACGGGAGGCCAAAAGGAACCCGAGAAGAAAGCACGAGTCAGGAAGGGGGTCGGATTTCGCACCTCTTTGTCCCAGCATCTCCCTGCACATGCTTTCTAAGGTCAAACACGCTTAACTTTGGAGTTCTTACGATCGAGTTACCGAAAAGGAAGGTGCACATTGTTAGTATAAGTAGTAACTATCATTTCTTTTAAGCTTTCTTAACCATACTCCTATGATTTTAGGATCCCTCTCATTCGGATGTGGTATCAACTAATTCTAGTCAGGCGTTCCAGTGTTTTGTTTTAAATGAATCCCTCCTCTAAATTGTAGCATTCAACTTGAATATCATATTACAAATGTGCTATATGACTATAGGGAGTTGTTAAAGATTGAATCAAAGCTTGCCATGTGTCTCTCAAGTTTGAAAACACGTATGAGTCTCAAGTACGAAGGGATTAAATGATGGACAAATTTTCTAAAGCTCTTTTATAAAAAGTGGGGTGTATTCATTACAAAAAGTACACAGTTCTATACGTCCTTATTAAGCTCAACTTAACATCATCTAATTGAACTAACTTTAGTTTCGGAGGGTACATGATCCCGCACCTCGCAATCTTGCATCAACAAGGGTGTTAATTTAATAGTAAGTAGCTTTTTTAATTGGATAAGTTTCCGAGTATGCTAATAAATGTTAATACTTAGTCTTGAAATAAACACAAAATT